CTGTAGCAATATTCAGACTGTAGCAAACTCTGTGCTAGGTTCTACCAAACTCTGTAGCAAACAAATATTCAAGAAATATTCAAACWGAACCATTGGCATTCCAAGAAATATCCAAACAGAACCATTGAATATTCAAACATAAATATTCAAGATATTCCAAGAAATATTCAGACTATAGCAAACAAATATTCAAACAGAACCATGCATTGCTGTCTACAATTAAAATTAGGAGAGTATCTACCAAACTCTGTGCTAGGTTCTAATGACAAAGGATACCTCAATGAACAAATCGTAGAAATTAGAGGAGACTATCACTTGAAAGCAAGATGCAAGAGAAAAAAATCACCAAAATATGATTGCCTGAGTGAAGAGGAAGTGCTGTTGCCGCTGGAGAAAGTGAGAGGGCATTGAGAGAAGAGAGAGTGTTGTACTGCTGTTACTAGAGAAGGTGAGGAGGTGCTGAAAGAAGAAGATGCTCTGTTGTTGGAGAAAGTGAGAGGGCAAAAGGAAGATCGCCGGAGAAAGGGAAATACGGCCAGAGTTCGTCCAAAACTTCAAACGAAATACCGCCGTCCGTCGGTGAGACTGAGGATGGAGCGATGGAGGCGCAGAGGCGCTGAACCCTAACTTTCGAGCTTCGACTCTTTGAAAGCTTCTATGCTTGACGCTTACAAAAAACCATTTGAACTAGTGGCTTTGTCCACTTTTGGTCCATTCTATGAATGGACGATTTATGTTCAGACCGGTCCGTGTCCATATCATTTTTTAGGACCGTCCGGTCTGTCCATATTACTTCCGATTCGGATGGTGTCCAACCCGAAACCGGTCCATTGACACCCCTATTTGTAATGGGGCTTAGTTTGGCTACTTGCAACGACACCATTGCTCAAAATATTCTTGTTGCCAGAATATAGTGTATGTTTTCTGGTAATTGTTATTGATCAGCGTAATCCATTCTTCATCAGCTAGTTATTTCAATACCCATTTTATAAAAGGGTAAAATAAGTATATGGAAAAAATATATACATCGGCTAAACGTTTTCTGTTAGGGCAATGATAGAAAGGAGGTTTTTGTCAAATTTTCTAAAAATTCATAAGAGATTTTGCTAAAATGAAACTATGGAAGGTTTTATGATTGTTAGAAACTATAGGCGAGATTTTTGTATTTTACCCTAAAAAATAAAATAAAGTAGTTGAATTTAAGAAATCCATTGATTTTTGTGTTAAGAGATGCTTAACCAATGATATCGCTCCATGTCAACCATGCGAAGTAAGAGATTGTAATGGTTTTTTTTTTGGCAAAAGAAAAGCAACCAAAATGCTTCATTAAGGAACTGATAACTACATTTGTAGATAGTGCTGGGTTGTATGATATTTTAACTTGCCCTTTGCATGCCAAGTAAGCTAATGTATGAGCTACTTTGTTATATGTTCTATTTATATGTACAAAATCGAGTGTCTCAAAAGTTGATTGGAGCTTTGTTAGTTGAGCACTATGTAGATGTTCGATCCACACTTCACTGGTTTGCTTCTATCCTGCAAAAACTCGATCAGCTGCGAAGAGTCACTGTGAAGCTTTAACTTTGATATTCCCATCTGTTTGGCTGCTTTTAGCCCTTGAATTAGGGCTTTAATTTCTGCATCATAGCGGCCCAGCATAACTCACATCCAGCAAGTGTTGTGCCTCCACTGGGGCATTCGATGAAGAAAATTGTAAGTCAAAGGATCCATCAATGAATAACGTAGAAGGACACCTGGTTAAATTTGTTGGATGTATGTGCCTTGCTATTGATTTCCTTTGTTCCTGATGTCGAAGATAACTGCTCATTCGAAGTAATATATCACGAGGGGTGATGTGTGCATGTTCGAAAATGATTTCATTCCTAGCCCTCCATAGGATATATAGTATTATGCAACCTTTCCCAATGAGCTGGTTTGCCTCATGTGAAGGTAATTGTCTTTTCACTTTTTCCCACCACTTTTTAATGGAAATAAAAAAATCTTCCTCCTCTCTGATGTCCTCTGGGTTCAGTCAAACTTGTGCCTTCACACCATACAGCTCTTGTGAATGGGCATGTAAAAAAATTATATTGAGCCGTTTCAGTATATGATGTACAAAAAGGACAATTCATTTCAGATGGGGGAAGCCACTTCTTACATTTGTCCTGGGTGAGAAGTCCATTCCATAGCATTTTTCAGACTGCTATTGTACATCTATATGGGACATTCAATTTCCATAATTTCATCCAGGGGAAATATGTATGGGAGGGTGATAGGTGTTGAAATTAAAAAGATTTATATGCTGATTTCATTGTGTAAATCCCCCAAGGAATTATGTTTCCACAAGATACCATCTTGCGAGGAATCTGTATTGAGAATAATTTAAAGAACGTGTAAATATGTTGGGACTATGATATGAAAAATATATGATATCAGAAAAATAAAGTGGAACCATAAATGTGATAGCAAATAAAGGGCTTTTTTATCAAAATTCATGAGTGGGTTTTGATTGGTCAGAACTATTTCTATACCATATCCTTCCAAGCATCATAGATTTATACTTATCAAAAACAAATAATCCATTTTTTCACATTCTCTCTCCCTCTCTCATTTCATCCCCTCCTTCCCAAGCCTCACCGGCTCTTCACAGCACCAACACACAACCCGAACCTCATCGCTGTTGAAGATTCCTACGCAACCCTCGCTGTCACTACAACTCACTGGAATCCTTTGTCGACGTTCATCTCCACAGGTGAATAAGCATTTTCTAAGACCTTGCTTTGCTCACCATATTTAGGCTCTTCCAGAAGTTGCATTGAGGGATAGAAATGCCGTCATTACACGAAGGTGGTCTGGAGAAACTCGCTAAGTGTTGGGTGTGCTAAAGTGCAGTAAAACAACGGAGGTACCTTCGTCATTTGCAACTGACACCGTGGTGTGTCCGGAAACGTGTCATTAATCACATCGGAACACCAGTTTAATTATTTGTAAATTTTTTCGTTTCTCAAATAACTACTTGTAGACAGTGTATGCCCTTAGCTCCAATCAGAATGATGTACATTATGACATTTAATGTAAATGAATAAAGTACATATTTGATTCATGTTATTATGGTGTGTTTCTATGTAATACCCTTAAACTGGACACATATGAGACTCGTGTTAGTTTAGAATCTTCACAGCCATTGGATAGATCTAGGAAGATTTATCCTGCCAAGGCTGACACTGATGTGCTGCCAAATTGGTTGGGGTGGCTTGTTTCAGCTGCCAAGGTGAGACCTGAGGTACATGCAGAGTGGGTTTTCTTGAAACCCTGAACCGGACCAAAATTCCAGTATTGCCCTGGACTTGGTGAAAGAATGATAGGATCCATCGTATGGACGCCAAAAAAGTTGCAGAATGGGTGGGCGAATTTCAAAAATTTCCTACCTTTCTTCCAACTGGGAATCTTATTCCCTGATTTTAGAATCAAAATTCAACGATCCTACTTGAACCAAACCAGACCAGATCTGAACCAAAGATCAGGGAAGGGTTATACCTGATACGAAGAATCAAAATCTCCCAACGTCAGTATTCACGCCCAAAGAAAGATCCAAGATCTTCTCTCGCTGAAGATGACACAACGATGGTGGGGCAGAACCAACAGTGTACGTCTCACGTACCGAACTCTTCACAAGAAATCGTTGAAGGCTTAGAGCACCGAACCAAATCAGCCTTTTAGCAAAGACTGATATCAAGAACAGATTTCTTGATTTTCCCTTCAATGGAATTCGAACTATGCAGCAAGGTGGCGGCGGTTGGATAAGATCCCTAAGGCTGAAAGTGGCGTGACTGTAGTTTTCAGCTTAGTGAAGATGAGATCCTATCTCAGATTGCAGAGAGTGTAATTGCAAAACCCTAGGTCGAATTATTGTAATTCTTTGTTAGGGTTTCCTCCTTTCTTAGTGATTAAGAAACCTTCTAATCCTATTAGGAGTTATCCCAATCCATCTTAATCCTATCTACAGATTAGATCAGCCCATTCCTGATCTCATCAGGAGGATAATCTTAATCCTATCTGCAAATTCGCCCCCTTAAGTGGGTGATCATATCAGCCAGTTCGAAATGGGCTTTAGGCTCAATAAATAAATAGTGCTCAATAAATTTCTAAACTGCTGCCCAGTTGGGCTTCTTTGTATGGTGTGGGACCCAAGCATTGATCTCTACACCATCCACATGGGTTCGGCCCATCCTTTGTTACAAGGCTTAGCCGAGTTCACTAGAAATCCCAATGAACCCCCTGAGCCCATCACATGGACCCTATGGGCCCAACACTTAGCCTAGCCGAATTCACTGGAAGGCCCAATGAACCCCCTGAGCCCATCACATGGACCCTATGGGCCCAACACTTACACTAAGTGCTCCCTGCGCCAAGCCATCTTATAAAACCCAGGGACTGTGGGCAGATGCAAGATTAGTC